TTCATGGTTCCTTTTTCCACATATTGTAACCGGTAGGGTTTATGATAAAAAATAAATAAATAATTATGTGATCGGTATTGGTGATCGCCATCGGTGATCGCTATCGGTGATCGGCCCTCATGGGTGATCGGTATCGGTATCGGCAGGAAAAAACCTGATTGGCACATCTCTAATTGTTGCATGAAATAATAAGCAAACTGGATGCCTTTCATTTAATAAGGAAGTACCATTTGAAGTTTTGGATCTACAATCCCATTCCTACAAAAAAAAAATCTGGTTAGTTTATTTGTTTAATTGAAATAGTTCATGCTTTGTTCACTGGTGAGTAGGTACCAAAAAAGATCTACATTTTTGTTGATTTTAGTTTTTAAAAATTATATTTTTGAGTACTTTTGAGCTGACAATTTTGACAAAAAGTTTGTTTTTGGGTTAGTGGTTAAGTCTATGATGGTTAGGTTAAGGGTAAAGGGTAAGATAAGGGTTAGGCTGCATAAATTAATGGAAGTCAATGTGAAGTCCCCACAAGTGATGAAAATATGACTGTGTGCGTGTGTGTGTGTGCTGCTGCAGGTCAGTACTGGCAGAGTGTGAAGGCCCACAGCGGGTCGGTGGGCAGGTCATACGTTGCCGCTCAGGGTAAGGACTGCGAAGAGACAGACGCCGTAAACGCTTTGGCCTCGCTCTCTGTGGGAGTCATCTCCAACAAGAGGTACACTTTCCTCCCAACACACCAAAAACACACTCACGCACAATGCCATCCAATTAACCTGTGCTCCTTCCCTCCAGGCTCCTGGACGAGCCGATGGATCACGAAAGCGACTCCATGTAGGAGAACTCACAGAAATTCAAGAAAAAAATGTGCCTCACCAACCACAGGTTCTCCATGGCACTGTCTGGGTTTTTTCAATGCCACTGAGCCCTTCTCCTTCTTCCCCACACCAGTTAGCCTTCTTCACACTCAACCGCACCAGCCAATACACAAGATCAAACCTCAGATCTGGTAACCACTTGTAGCACTACCTGCAGCTGAGAAACCTTGGGAAACCTCACCAAAGAGCAATTCAAGTCCACTCTGACAGACTCCTCATCTCTCCTGACTGACAGCCACTCAAATAGCTATGGGAGACAAAAAAAATAAATAGTTTTTGAGATCAGCTGGGATTCTCCTTGAAGCACTGTGCACCAGCAGCTGATATGATGCCTTAACTTCACCCCCGTTTTTTTTTTTTTTGTGTGTGTGTTGTTGTAAAGCATCAGCATCAGGTTTCACAGTGAGGAGGACTTCACATGTGAGAGCTGGAGCAAATGCTGACCAAACGGGACGATGAACGGACACACCGTGTCGGATGCCCGACAGGTCAACACATGACAACATCGCAAAGAAGACGGCGACAAAGAGAAGTGTGCTGAGACAGTTTAACCACTAGACCATGACGGTAAAGAACTCAAGAAAAAGAGAATGAATGAAGACACCAAATGGACAACTGTGGTTTTTATGGAGAAAAAAAAGGACAATTGTCCTTTGTTGTTTTATTGCACTGTTTAGTCCTTAATGTGAACCATAAGAAATTCCAAAGCTCTGGGATCACACAATTCCTCTTTGTAGTTTTTTTTCCGAAGATGTGGATAAAATAGTGTTTGTTATATTTTTTCCAAATTCTTTTTTTTTTTTTTTCCCCTTTCTCACTCTTTTTATGCTGGCCGAAATACTGTAGAGTTGTATTTCCTGCCAACTAAACCATAAAAGTAGGCTAGAATTTTTTTTTTCACTGCTGTTCAGCGTCTTATTCTGTCTTGCATACAGACATAAAACTCATTCCATAAAACTCAAGACAATTATTGTACCACTAGTATTGAATGCTATATGTTGATGTTTTATTTTTGAGACTAATGGCGTGATCATTCCACCCTGGCACCATTGAAGAAGACTATTGTATTGTTCTATATAAGCAGTACTGTTGAAGCACTTATCATGACTAGAGATGCACCGATCAGATTTCTGTGGCCAATTTCCGATATCCAGTTTTATGTAAAACTCCCATCTACTAATGTCAATGTGACCCTATTCCACTTTCTGTTTAAAACCTCTTTTTTATTTTTGAAATATTTTGTGTATTCAGTACAGTAAAGCAAGACAAAATCAGCAAATGCAAGCAGACATATTGGCTGTAAGATCTAAAGGAGCAACCACAAAAACCCAAAAAATTAAAGCAGTGTTGACCTGAAATTGCTGATGTTGGGGCCATAAATAAACCACTAAAGTCTTTAAACAAAGGGTTATATAAGATGATACTGAAATGGAATATGGAGGCATAAACTTTGTAGATGAGGTTCTGTGAAACAATGAACTAGAAAAGCATTGACACGTTCAGTCAATCTGTACGGCCGACCCAGTGTTTCCTGGGACCACGAATACAAAAGACACCCTCTAAATATGCCTATAGCTGCCTATTTTAATAATTGAAACATCAAATATATTGTGATATGCATTATATAATATACATTGGAAACCATTTTAGAAGCTAATATTGCAGTCCTCCTCGTTTCCCCCCTTTGGGGTTTCAGCCAATTAGCATCACAAAAAATAAATGCCACTCCTGGATTGGCTGTTATACAAAAAACAGCCAATTTCAGCTTCCCAAGCTCCATCTTCTTTTGATTATATTTAGTACTATATTCTTTTGAGGAAAAAAAATGCATTTAGCTTTGTATGATGTTGCAGGAGGACCTCCTCAGTTAAATCAAACTTATCACGCCTGGAGGACGGTGAATGGTAAATCCTGCTCAGGTTAGCTTTGGCATAATGAAACTTCTAGAACCTGTAATTCAAAGCCTGCATGGGTGAGAGAACACTTGCTGTAATATGGGCTTTTTACTATTTTAAAACAATGACAAAATAATTTCAGAATTGTTATTTAGCTTTTTAGCATCCTGTATTAGCAAATAGCATGATTAGCATTGGTAAACAATCAAGCCTAGATCCTTTCAAGCAGCTCCTTCTACTTTGGTGCTTAATTTTTCTTAAATTTTAAACACTTCACATAGACCATAAGTTGCTAACTTTGAGGATTCTACTCTTAACCCTTGTGCCTAAAAATGGGGTCCAACCGACCCCATACACGTAAAACTTGTATCATTTTCCACAGTCCTCTACGTTTGCCTCAGTCCTCGCAAGCACAAGGGTTAAGAAACAACTTCCACACCAAAGAGAGTTGTAATTAGCATCAGGTGTGGTGAGGGGATCAGGCTGAATTTCAGACGATACCAACCACAAGCCGATTTTTCGGTGCATCTCTAAACACGACCCAAAGAAAAATCTGCCTTAAGCGACCTGCTGCTGGCAGAGGGGGTGCTGTATGGAAGTGACATGAGAACGGGTCTAATCTTTGGAACATAATATTCAAACTTTTGGACTAAGTCTCACGTCATATATGCAGTCTTTTCTAAACTTTTTGCTTGTGATTATAATGACTCACTCTGTTCAGATTTTTTTTAAGGAACAAGTCTCGTTTTAATTAAGAAAACAGTTTTTGTTTGTTGAAGAAAAAAAAAATTGGTAGTTGCATTTCCATGTGAGAATCTTCTGTGAATTTGTAGCCGCTTTTCTTATCAAACAGCTACAGTTTACCACAGAAGCTGATGGTGAGCAATCAAATCTGTTCAGGACTTTGCATTCCAAACCTACAGAAAGCAAGATTGTGTTTATTAGTGTTGTATTGTAAAACAGAGATTGTCAAACCTTGTTCTATGCATCCTACATTACACCAGGTTTGGATGAGCCGTGCTAATGTTGTTTTAGACGAGAGCTGTGGTTGACAGAGTGTAATTTCTGGATGAAAATGGTTCAAACTTCTCATATTTCTAGACACTAACCTCCTAAAACTTATACTTATTAAAAGCAAATGTGGCTTCATAGTTGCTCTTTGCAAATTTTTTTTCTCGGAAATTCTAAACTTTTTATCTTCTCTCACAATTTGATAGTATACTTGGAGAATTGTTTGTTTTGTTTTTTTAACTCCTTCCGTGTTTAGAGATGAAGGAGACTTGAACTGAAGGAAATATGGGTTTGTCACTCAGAAACTGTGCCGGCCTTTTTTACAATCAAACCCTGCAGATTTTTTTCCCAGCAAAGGTTGGACTGTTTCTGCAGAACTGAGACACGTCTGTTTTCTGTCATGGCGAGTGTGGTTGGAATTTGTTCCTAATTTTCTCGGTGGGAGGTGTCAACATTGAAACAAAGCGCTGCGTCTGTCTCGAATCCAGCGTGGCCAGCAGCAACTGCGTGTGTGTCGTCTGTGAGGTAAAATGTTGTCTCTGATTGTCTGAGCACGTCTCTCATGTGTTTTGTGCATGCGTTGGCAAGTATTAAAGTGTCCGAGTGCGTCCGTCAAATACTGTATATGACCTCTGTATGATAGTCCCCCCTTGTATTTGTCTTACGAAGAGGCCAGTTCTGCCTCAGCTCTTCATTCCTTTCATTACTGATGTAATTTGTACATTCTTCTTAAAGAAAGATGCTGTAAATAGAAACAGACCAAAATACACGTCACACGTGTGCCTTGACGCATGTGTATTGGTAGTTTTTAAACTAACTGGACTTACAGTAGCTTTGTATCTCAAAACATGACATTGAAATCTTTGTTTCATTCTTACTTGTATTTTTCATTCACATTACCTACCATGTGTATGTATAGAAAGATTGTCTATTTTATACTTTTTGCCTTTTCTTGATTAAAAAAATTCTCTGCTCTAAGGCTTGTTTTGTCTTTAATTCTTGTACAAACATGCACTGTGCTCTCTGCCTTGACTTACTGCTTTGATTTACAGTGTAAACTGTAACATTGCATTTAATTGAAAAAGATTAGTGATTATAATTTGATTTTGGTTAAGGTTTGAAAACATTCGATGTCCAGTGAATTTTTGGGTGTATGGTGAATTAGTGAAATTAAGTGAATTTATTTATTTTATTTTTTTGTTGTTTTTTTTTTACACAGTTATACTAAGCACTTGATTTAAAAACATCAAGGGCCTTGACATAAAAACATTTTAAAAATTAACTTACTTAATTTGAAGTTATATGAAAGGGTATGTGCAGGGTAGTAAAAGGTAGTTAATTAAATGAGCTCAAATTAAGGCCAGTAAAAGGTAGTAAGAAGTAACTAAAGGTAGCAAAAGGAATCATCCCATCAACATATTTTTATTTCTGCAATGATGCTCACTTATTGTTTCAAGTTCGTTTTACTAAAATCTGTATAAAAAATGGTAACTACCGTACTGGCAGGACCTGAGCTGTCACTGATATACTCCAAGCTGCTGTGCGCATGCGTTGTGTTGGAACCGCCTAATGTGTTGAGACTAGCTAGTCATTTTGCGCCCACCATGGGAAAATCTAAGTTTTCACAACTTTGGCTTGATGATCTGAGATTCGAAGACTAGGAATGACCTAAAGGCATTTTGTAAAGTATGCAGGAAAAATCTAAATTTGACCTGGAACGACTTGACGGTGATCAAATCAAACCTACCAGAGCCATTCATCCACCATTCATCAGCAGCGGATTCCTGCGCGGGTTGAGGCTCCACCGTGGAGCAGATCCCCGTTTCGTCTCTTGGTGCTAAACGAAGCGATGCAACTGTAAACTCAAGCTCAGCTACGAGCTGAAGTTTTACTAGTGACGCAACGGGAGCTGCAGACAGGAAGCGGACCTTGCTGACTCTAAAGCCAGCGCTCAGAGCTGAGCAGCTCTGAACACCACAGCAACTAAAGTAAGTTAAATAACACCAACTGCACCGCTAACAACAGATTGCAGTGTGAACATACTCAAAAATGAAAATTTCACTGCAATTGTAGGAAAAGTGGTAGAACTTTTACGTACCACTTTATCATTCATTATTAGCTGATACCATTTAGACACGTTTCATGTTATTGTTTACATCCGCAAATTTCGCGAAGACAAAAAGACGATTCTTTTCCTTGCCATCAGTAGCCGCGCTGCCGCAGTAGACCGATTCCGTTAAATGAAACCTTTTTAGTGTAGAGCAGCGCGCCACAGCAAAAGGAAAATAACGCATAAAAACAGTCAAAGAACATCTTAAATCCGTGCATTTTCAGGCAGTTCGTTCTTTCGTTTGAAATGGAAAATTAAAAACCGGAAATAGACTCGTTTTTTCGTTTTCCGTTTAGAAAACCAAACTCGGAAATCGGATTTTTGAAAAAACGGAAATCGGATTTTTGAAAAAACGGA